GTGTGCCCCGGCACCTGAAGTGCCGCTGGTCTGTCTTGTGTGCGAGAAGCAAAGATACCTGAGGAGTCGGTCAGGTGTGACTCTTGGCAGGATGCAGGAAGGCAGTTGAGCAACACAGGGACAGAGACAGTAGAAAAATAGAAACAAGCTGCTCTGAACACTGCTGCACAGCCATTTCCTTCTTACAGCCCCATGCAAATGTCACTAGACTCCTTGAACTCCTTTTGCCTATATGCATCTCCTCATGGTTACAGTGACAAATCCTTCACTAGAGACAGGACTGTCTGTTAAACCGTGAAAACAGTTTAGGCAAATGCCTGCAGAAGTCCTCCTAGTGATCACCACAGAAGAGTGCTGTGGAAAGTGCTATGCAAAAACACTTCCTTTCTAGCCTTTCTCTTGGCTTCTGCCAGAGACACAATGGTTTCCCCCCCGCCACAGCCTTTCATTTAGGTTCAGAGTAGAAGCCAGTAAGTGGAGAAGGAGCTTTATTTATTTATGGTATGCATTAACATTTATTCAGCTGGTTGCTGTGCATTGAGTAAGGTGGCAACATGATAGGTGCCAGCCGTTCTCCCTGCTGCTCACCGAGCCAGGGCTCTCTCCCTGTGAGCAGCCACAGACTCTTCCAGAATATGGAGCTGAGCAAATGCAATACCATTTCGTTAAGGGGGAGGGTGGGAAGGATAAGTATCCTGCTCTCATGACAGCCAGAAAACTCCCTGGAGACTAGCTGGGGGCAGTCCTTTCACCCTCTGTGCCTGCACGCAGATGAGGCATCATCCATTTGCTCTTGCTCCTACTAGAACAGCTTAATCTGAGGAGGATGCTAATCACATACTGTCCATAACTGAAACGAATAGGTAGACAAAGATGGGTTTGCACTCATATACATATGTACCCACACCCCACACTAGTTTTATATATAGCCAATATATTTTGGTTATACAGCAATACAAAAACACGGGGCTGTTCTAGTGAATCTAGTGTCTAGTGTTTTCTCGAATCCTGTTTAGTTTTGCTGTGTCACTTTTCATATTTTTACCTAGCCCATTAATGGATGAGGTAAGGATGAATACGTAGCAAAGCTTTCCCTTATCTCTAGTTGACTTCAGTCAGTCCCTGCCACCTCAGACAGCAAAGAAAATGGGGTTTGGCATTTATGTCCTTTGTAAATGTTTTTTAGATTTACTGGTGGAAGATCAAGCTACAATGAAGGTCATTGTTGTTGGCTCTGATGGGAAACGTAGAGCAACAACTGACCTTTCTGTACAAGCAGGCTGATACCCTGATAATTGAATGATGCCCTGATAATTCAAAACTGGGATCTCCTCCATTCTAGCTGGGTGCTCTGTGCACAGCCCCAAACTGCTGAGGAGAGGCTCAAATGGTGCACCAGACCACAAAGTGACCAAGGAGGAAGGACAGATGGACATCCTTCAGCCACTGAGGCACTTTCAGCAGACAGCTGAGCACGTAGAAAGTGTACTTAAACTCTGACCAAAACTCAGGATATCTGAGGGCTTTAAGCCAGCTTCTCTGAAGATTTCATGGTGACTATGGACATCTCTGTACTCTTCTGTTTTTGCTACAATATAAAAACATGATGTTATGCTCTTATGCTAGATACCTGATGATCAGGGCAATTCCAGCAGAGATCAAGGCAATTCCAAGTGTGACGCCAGGGCAGCCACCTTCTCCACCAATAACCAGCTACAAGGCTGCGTCCTGCATGGATGTACATGGCCCAGTGGCTGGGACCTGTGCTATGAGTTTCACGCTATGTCCTTGCACCCCACAGAGCCAGATCCCCCACTAGTATAAACCTCTGCCGTCCAGCTGGCTTTCTGTGTGCAGCCTGGAGCTGCTGCTCTACTTCAGTCTGACCATGATGCTCTTAAATGTCACTGGTTCAGCTCTGTTGGGTCTCACCTAAGTTGGCTTTAATACTGCCATTATGTCCCTATTCTTGCTAGGGGCTATCTTGGCCCTCAGATAACAGTCGTGTCACTGCAGTTTGCACTCTTGTTGTGTGAGACAAGCAATGATGGGGCAGGCTGGGTTAGCATTTGGATGGAGACTACCCAAGACAGCCCAAGTACCTACCCTTCTTCCTCCCATACCTGTTTTGTGTTGCAAGGGTATTATATTACAGAAAAATATCCTTGGAAGAAGTCTAAACCTAAGGCCTCATGCACCTAGAATTAATATTTAGACATCTGTGTGTATTGGATCCACAGAGGATAGAAGGACATTAACCAGACAGCTTTAAATGGAGCAGATGGTTGTGTAGTGTGAATTTGGGAATCATCGTGCTCATTTCTTTGGAGATCTCGCAGTTTGCACAGGCTGAGGATCCAGCGTGATGATAAAGGAGAAACATGGAAATATAAAAAGTTGTGTAAACTCTGACTGTCCCTTAGCAGCATCATAATCACATAATCAAGGCCAGATCAGCTTTATGTGATTTTTTTCATTATAAAATAATTCTCTGCGGAATTTTAGTTTTTGCCTACCCTCTGCCCCTAAATGTGCCAGCTCAGAGCAGAAATTAATGTTGGGGGAGGGAGGATCCAAGTGAGAAGGAGACCCAAACATTTAAATGCTGGGAAACCAACACATACTGAGTGTCCTTTGCAAAAGGCACGCTGAATTAGTTGGGTGAGTTTCAGGTTCTGCCAGGCATAAACTCCCAGGGTGTACTCATGCAACACTCGGCTGGCCCAGCCAACCGCCACTGATTTATGCTGTAAATTAGTGCAGACCTCATATTGTCCTTCAGAGGCGGGAGGAAAAGAACGGGCAGCTGATTTACAGCAGCTGGAGGAGCAATGCTGATCTACCCCTCTTGAAGATTCAGCCCATGGACCTAGGGCTCTCATTTACTGGTTTGCTGGAATTAAATGGGAGAGCTCCTGTTCCCAGTGAGATGTGCGTTGGGGGGTGTGCCCATGAAAAAAAAAAAAATCAGTGTTGAGATTGACTTATTTGAGAAGCTGTGTTTGTTTTTAAAGCAGTTTGTCATCCTTTTCCTTTGCTAGCTTTTGCAGGAAAGGCATTGCAGGGTGGTCACTGCTCTCTGTGACTAGGCATCAAGTCATTCTTATGGTCGAAAATTAGGTCATCCTGAACCCAGATAATTCAAAGTGCTGGAGTGCTTCCGTCAGCGCGTGCTAGCCTGAGCACATGCTATGTTTCAAACGTGTTATTTTCAACTCTCAGCTTAATTTTCACGTGGCTCTATATGGTTCTTTATTTTGCTTTGCAACCAAAATCTTTCCGCCCTGTCAGCGCTGCGGGAGCTTTCAACTCACGGCAAAGCAAACAATGCTGCCAGAAGCAGGAGCTCAGCTGACAGCCCTGCGCACAAAGTGGAGTAGCACCCAAACATTTCCACACTTTAGCCTCTCCTTTCTAGGCTTTATACACGTCATTTCACCTCTACACAAGTGAACCTCCACTTGGCACCTACCTATCCTGCAGAATTGAGGCCACAAATAGCCCTGGCCAGTAACACCAGATTTCTCCTCTGCCTTTATTCCCATGTATCACTTCTTTGCAGCTAATCTAAGTTAACGATTACTTTGTTTAACGTTTTATTCACTAAGTACACCACCCACCTACCCACCAGGACCCACTTCTCCCCAGGCAAAATAGGTCACTTGGGGGACACTGTTCCAGGCCACTCTACAATGACAAACCTCCAGGCAAAAACATTCAGCAACCACAGTGGCTTTCCAGGGACAAATGCAAGCACCATCACCTTGTAGCAGCAAAAGGAGATTTCTGATAAGTATAAGCTCTGCAACAAGGGGCTGTTATAGATTTTTTGCATCTAATGAAAGCCTAAACCAGGCAAATCGACAGCTCTCGAAAGATTTAGTGAAGCAATTTTTCTGCCAGAAAGTAAAGTTCTGAAAGAAGAGTCCAGCTCTCCTCTTTTCTGGTTCTCCTACCTGCACCAGGCATGGGAGGCTTATGAAATACCATTGTAGGCTCATAGTCTAAGCCAGGAAAAGAGCTTGCGGGCTCAGGTACCTCAAAAGCCTCGGAGGAGTCTATCCTCTTATCTAAAGACTGACTGAGGAGATGACTTCTCACCTGACTTTCTGCTTGTTCAGCCCATCCCTGCATGCCCCACAGGCCAGGTCTTCACCTGTGATACATTAAGAGAGCTGCTAAGATCAGGATTAACTGCTATTGATACCTAAGTGTTCTCTACTGCTCCTCATCCCGTGATTCATTGACTCTTCTGGAGCTGTGGTGGTTGAAACAAGCTGCAGATCAGGCTCTGTATGTAAAAGCACTGATCCTACAGATTTCCTCTACTTCCAAAAAGCCAAAGGGCATTGGAGTTTTCATGGTTCACCGAGTAGTTAAAAAGTATAATCATTAACCTGCTGGGGACAATCTTTCTTTTGTTAGGCCCTTTATCGGGTTATCTTGCTAACATAACAGGAGAGGATTTGGGTGACGGG